AAATTCCAGTGAAATATATTTATGTTTGTGGTTGTAATGTGACAAAATATGGAAAAGTTCAAGGGGTATGAATACTTTTGCAAACCACTGTACGTGTGCTGAAAAGCTGAAATTTTGATTTCAGATAAATGGTTCAATTTAAATCAAATTCAGTTTGTAACTTTCAGGATCCAAGCATAAACATCTCTGAGCTGAAGGACATTCACTCAGAGATTAACCTGACAGTACCGGACCCCATCTTGCTCTCAAACCTCCATGACGGACTTGAAGGGGTGAGTTTCAGACTTTCAGACTTCCACCTCCATGATACTCACGTTTGCTGAAGCATCTCTAACCCTGTCGGGTCTGTTCTACAGCCCAACGCCAAAAAGAGAAAGCTGGAGGATGAAAGTGGGAATGACATGAGTGAGTACCGTTTGAGTGGTCCGACGCTTCCCCCCCCCCCCGCTGGCTCGTACGTTTGATTTATTTCTCTTCTTCCCTGGTCTCTCAGAGACGGGCACGAAGGTGTTCGTCATGCCTGGAGGGATGATGAAGTGCAACGCAAACCTGGTTGACCTGATAGAAAAGGTCAAGCCGGAGATCCGGACACTCATAGAGAAATGTAACACAGTGAGTCACGAGAAGCGCCTCTTATTTCCTCTGTTAGTTCTGGTTTATAATCTGACATTATCAGGATCAGATTTGCACAAACAACACTTACTGATAATAAACACGATGCTCCATGACTAAATGTTTCAGGTATTAAAGGTGAAAAACCAAATTAATTACCAGTTAATAGAAATGTTTATCCCACATCTTGACTGATTGTCTCCCACATACTGCAGACTTGTTGTTTTTGAGCACGGTTCTGTTCTTCCTGCAGGTTAAAATGTGGGTTCAGCTCCTCATCCCCAGAATAGAGGACGGCAACAACTTCGGCGTGTCGATCCAGGAGGAGACGGTAGCAGAACTCCGCACGGTCGAAGGGGAGGCAGCGTCGTACCTCGACCAGATATCAAGGTTCACCTCGGATTACAAACCGTTTCATCCAAACTCACTTTGTGCTTTTAATGGTTTCGAAGTCTTAATGTAAACGTGTTTTCTTTTAAACTGTAGATACTACATCACAAGGGCAAAGCTGGTTTCAAAAATAGCCAAATATCCACATGTGGTGAGTAAATGCTGACAGCACAAAAGCAAGTCGAGCAGAGCAAATAAGTTTTTGTGTTTTCTGAGTTTTTACTGTTCAAATTAAGTTTATCCAGATCTCTAAGTTTTCCCTTTTTGTTTGTCTCTAAACCAGGAGGACTACCGGCGCACAGTTACAGAGATAGATGAGAAGGAGTACATCAGTCTGAAGATCATCGTTTCAGAGCTCAGAAATCAATATGTAGGTTTTCATCTCTTTTTTTATTATCCCCCCATTTTTTTTCCTCTTTAATTGAGACCAACTGTTTTCCTTCTAAGGTAACGTTACACGACATGATTCTGAAGAACATTGAGAAGATCAAGAGGCCTCGAAGCAGTAACACAGATGCGTTGTACTGATGTTCGTCCAGCCGCCTCCGCCTGACCCCCGCCTGCAGGTCAACAGCAAGACTTTCACCCACATCCATACAATCAACTGATCGGAAACATAGCTTCATAGATGGCCCCCCGCTCGTGTTTTTTTCTTTTGTTTGTTTTTATTGTAAGTTTTTTGTTTTAAATCTCTCGAGAAACTTACATTTTCTCTCAGAAAATGGAAAACTGAATCCTAGACAACATAAAGCTCTATGTATTTTTTAATTTTAATTAAATGTTTTGTCTTCTGACCTTTTTTCTCCTGATGTGTGCTCTGGCTTGTCTTTCACTTTGTCCTGCATTCACAGTCTTCTGCATCTGTGGAGTAAAACATTAGAGGATGTGCAGAACAAAAGTGGTTCTGCTCTGAATGTTTGACATTAAATCGTATTGTTGGGAGATTAAAAGTGAAACAAGTTTTATCTTTATGGGTTTAGTGGTTTTTAACCAGAACATCTGTTATGTTGGAGCTTTGATGCTGTTGAGTTTATTGATTCAATGGGATCTGCCTATAAGCTGATTCAGTTGAATAGAAATGTAACAGTTGCTCCTGTTGGCCTGCAGGTGTCGCTGTAAATATATCTGAGCTTCACAGGAACAACTAGTTTCCTCTCAAAACACTGAGGTGAACACTGACCGGATGGATTGTAGGATATTTAGTTCATAATAAACAAATGAGTCAGATTAACATTTAGACTAACTTTAATCTAATCAGAATCCCAGTTTCACTAAACAGTACAAATTAACAGAAAAAAGCACAAGAATAGCAAAAAGAAGCAGAACTATAGCTGAAATAGCAGAAAACAGCTAAAGTTAGCACAAGTAATTTAAAGGAAGCATAACCAAAGCAAAATATATGAAAAGCAGTGAAGATTTATAAATAATTTGAAAGGTTTTAAGCAGTTGAAACATATCCCCATTCAAAGTCAATGGGGAAAAAGTAGCTAAAAAAGTATTAACAGCTGTAATACCATGAGTCATTGCTGGAATGGCATTAAAAAGCTGAACGTTTTGATATAAGAATTGTTGAAATAGCACAAAAATTGTAGAAGAGGTAGCAGTCCAAAAAGCGTACGGAAGAATTATAGAAAATAGAATAATAGAACTGTAATCTGGATCTTTACTCAGAGTTGCTGCATAACTCATATTTCAGGACGCTCATGCAGATGCACTGAAGTGGAGAGAGTTAAAAATTAAAATCGGAGTCTCTGACCTCTCCTCTGTCGGAGAGGCAATCCAAAAGTGGGCCAAAGTTCTCCAGAGCTAGAAAAAAAAAACATTTCAAGGTCAACAATCTTTTTCCACAACATCCATTTTCTATAGCAGCCTCAGCGTGACGGACAGCTGCCATCCATCTSCAGTGATTGACGGGACGTGGGGACACCTAAACGGGCTTTCAGGACGCACACAAGCTCCAGGCTTATTTTAGGCCGGTGGGAARAAGCTGAAACTAGAAGAAACAAAATGCTAGCTGGAGCCAAGGGGGTGGCATGGCCACCACAGACAAATCTATGCCCCCCCCAATGGCCACCCTGCTGTACACACCCCTTCCACAGTGAAACAACTTTTAGGGGTGTAATAATCCTCCGAAACAGTTGGTGGCAGTGTTTAACAGTTTGAAACATCACCAAGCTCAAAGAAGTAACAAAAAAGAGATTGTTTTCTTTATATACAGAACATGTAACATGCCTATAAGGACAAAAGGAAATTACCAAAACACAAAGATCTGCAGAAACCTTCAAGTAAAAAAAAACAAAACAAAAAAAAAAACGTAATTTTCTTGGCCACCCCAGTGTGAGTAGTGGTCCCCGTCTGGCCACCCCTGAGAAATGTCTGGCTCCGCCACTGGCTAAAGCATTATAATAAAAAAATAATGGATTGAAATAATCTGCGGTCCAGAGTTTGTGACGTCAGCTGCTGTGCCGTAAATGTCCCCAAACTGAGCTGTTTGTTGATTTTTCTGCACTGAATGAAGAGATAAGATAAGGTTACTAAACCAAAAAGAACTGGGGTTGACAGATGCAGATGTTCACTGAATGTAAACAGTTACTCAATGTCCCTGAAGTCCTTCTAACCCCGGCCCACATGCTCTGCAGACCCACAGCAGCAGATAGGACTTCTAAAGATAAGCATCAGAATTAAAAGATAAAAAGCACATAAAGTCATTCTGAAGGAAACGTCCCACACCCACAACAAAACCCATCTGAACCTTGTTTACCTCATTTACTGTACTGACATTACATACAAGTGCTGTTCAAAAGAATCATATGAGCAGACATATTTAAATATGAGATAAAAAAAACAACAAGCAAATAAAACCCCAATTGTGTAGTTTGTGTTTTACTCATAGTTTCCTGATGTTATTTCTGCATAAACTGGTGTTTTTATTTAATCCCAGGATCGTCTCTGTTAAACTGAACCACACTGATCAGGAGCTGAACATCTACTTTCACACTTTCTGTTGTTTCAATAACAAACACTTCATTTACTGGAGTTTTTTTTATCTATTTACATGTGCATTCCTTATTGGCCCACRCCATTAAAGTTGATTATTTTTAAAGACAATCATTTAAATATAACTCAGTYTATGAATGTGGCTGTAGTTTGATAAATATTTCCAGTATGACTAATATTTAGAATAGCTCTTACTCATAAATGAAGTTCATAAAATCAATATTTAAAGATTAAAAGTTATTCTTTTCAAAGTTTTTGCCAAAATGTCTGATGAGTGTTTTCTGATTTGTCCAGTTCCTGTGCATGTACTCTGCTTGTGCACATTGCTTCATGTAATGAGCAGCTATTGATCGACGCTCAGGAGTGTACAAACTGTTCAGGAAATCAAAAGTCGAAGGTATTTGCTGCAGAACTCCGCAGCAATTTAAACAAAGAGCCAAAGAGCAAAAACTTCAATATGATTAATAAATGGTTCAGTTTTCTGTTTCYTCTCATTTTTACATGAAAAGTGAGAAAACATTTCTTTTATTGTTGAATTCTTGTCCAACATTCAGACTATTAAGCTTCATTTTTCATGGTTTTCAGCACATATCTCATTCTGCAGTTTTTAATCAAAATGTTCAGCTCCTTCAGGACATTCCAGCTCAGACTTTTGGMATTTCAGCAATTTATGTTTTGAGATATTTAGCTTTTTCTGCCGTTGTTTTTCTCATTGAAAATGAACAGAGCTGTCTTCAACATCTGAAATTAAAACCTTTGAAAATGTTCAAATATATTTACTGAACTTTTACTTCTGGTTTTGCTTCTTTTTTTACTCCTTGTACTAATATCAGCTTCCTTCTGCTTCAATTTAGCTGATTTTAGCTTTTTTTCTGCTTTCTAAGCTATCATTCTGACTTTTTTTAATTTTGTGTTTCTTTCAGCTTTTTTGATCTTTTTGTGCTTCTTTTAGCTGCTTTCTGCTAATTTAAGCTGTTTTCTGTTTTAAGCTAACTTTTAGCTAATTTGCGATTTTTTTTTCAGCTAATTTCATCTTTTTGTGATAATTTCAGCGTCTTACTGCTTAATTCCGAAAACATGCTCTTTCTGTTTCTTTGTGCTAATTTTAGCTACTTCAGCTACTTTCAGCTAGTTCAAACCATTTTTTTTTGGCTAGTGTCAGGTTTTCTTTARCTATTCAGCAAAAAATCTTTCAGCATTAAGCATTCACTGCATTTTAACAGGAAATGCTAATCCTCCAGTAACAAGTGCTTTCACTTTAAGTAGCTTAAATTCAGCTGCAGATTGTAATATCGCTACTTGCAGGCGAAACAAGAGGACAAAGGTGTGTGAGCGTGACCTCTGCCACCCTGCTGATTTCAGCACCGTGTGTTCAAATCTCCCTTGATATGTAATCCGACCAACGTGGGCCACTGAGCCCGAAGCGTTAAAGAACACGCGTGTTGTCTTCGYCGCTTTCCGCCCCTTGACCCCCAGCGTCTCTTAAAGGAGCGTGGCTGTTGTGAAAGGCAGAGTCACGGCGCAGAGTGACGGGAGCATGCTCTGGTTAATATTTAATGGTTGTTCCAGTCAGGGAAGTATTCAGCGTGGCTCTGAAGCACTCCCAGAAAACAGCACTCTTTACAGAAGACCAGTGATTGCAAAAAAAAAAAGTTGTTTTATTTACCAAAAATAATGCAGTTTTACAAAAAAATCTTTCTAAAAGCTTTCTGTCAATTATTGTCCCTATAAAAGCATCATTAAAACATATATTTTTGTTGAGTTTGTACAAAGAGCATTCTTTAAAAAAACAACTATCGAGGATATGCAGAATACTTTTCACAGGTTTTGTGATAGTTGCTGCAAGACAAACTACAGGAAGTTACGGAGCCCCCAAGGGGACATGGGAGATTTAATTTCTTTTGCGTTCCCACGCAATAGTATTGTGTTACCTCGCAATACCTTTTGCGTTCTCTCGCAAAAAACGTTTATCACTGTTTGCCTGCCGGTTTATTAACAAACTCACATGTTYACCRTTAGCGAGTTAGCCTACTGCTTTAATTCAGCTTCAGAATGAATATATCACACAACTACGCATTGAAGTATGTCATATGCTGATATTTTAACACAGTGCAGCCACGCAACATCAATGTTAATTTCACGAATTTGTGGCGGCACATCCTGTTTTGGTAACCGGATATTTCAAAATAAAAGTCTGATTTAATTCRGTTCGTGTACAAAACAATTTTTTGCGTGGGAACGCAAAACAATTTTGCGAGATAACGCAAAAGTATTGCGAGGTAACGCAATATTATTGCAAGGTAACGCAATAACGCGTGGGAATGCAAAAGGAAAAAAATCTCCCCACGTCCCCTTGCGGGCTCCGTAGGAAGTGCTTTGTGAGGAAAGAAAAAATATTTGTACAGCCAAAAATAAAAAACAAAAACAAAAAACCCCCAATAACAATAAAAAATGATAATAATTGGATTTACTTATAGTGCTGATTTGCCAGATTAAATAAATTTGGGGAAAAAAGTTAAAATTAGTGTTTTACTTTAGTTAAGTAAGATCTAAGTCACAAGGTTTTTTCATCTCCTCTTCTCTTGCAAATCCTGCAGAGAACCCAGGGAACCAGAGTGGTCGGGATTAAAAGTGCAACAGCACTCTTCCCAAAAGATAAAACATAAAAAGTCAGCTGGTTCTCAGAGGCAAATGTCCAGTCGTCCAGCAGATGCAACAGGAACAAAGAGGTGATGATGCACCCTAGCTTGAAAGTGGAACCCCCGGTCCTGGCGCTGTGGTGGATCGGCGCGTGCAGGCCCAGTCCGAGTCCGGACAGGCTGCCCATGTTACGCAGGAGGCTCGCAAACGGCGTGGTGTCCAGGTGGACCCACTCGGGCCTGACGCACCATTTCTGGGCTTTGTCCAGAGTCCAGAGCAGGTCCACGCCCATGGCTTTCAGCAGGACGTAGAAGCCGACGGCGAAGAGCGTCAGGAAGGTGGTGATGATCAGGTACTCGCTCAGGCTGGCGCTGTAGATCCACTTCTGTTTGGAAACCATCTCAGCTACAAGAAGTCCTGAAACACACAGAGGTGGGGTCTTAAAGGCCCTGTGACATGTCTATCCTTCAAAAAGTCAAAGAAAACATCTTTATACTGAAAAAAAAAACAGGTTTAACACACATGATTTTACCCATTTTGTCACATTACTTTTGAACTTGGCTCAGCCAAAATGAAACAGGAAGTGACATCAAAGGGGAACTCTTTAATAAAATAAACTCCTTGGTCTTTATTTATTAAAACAATATTATTTAAACTTTATCTCCTCTTCATCTCTCTTTGATAGCGACTCAAAATAATCTAGACTAACTTCAGATTCTTCTCTACAGTCTGTGTTATCAGCTGTTGTAACAACGCTCTGTTGACATGCAGACATTCCCCTTTGACATCACTTCCTGTTACTTCATATGCAAATATCTCAACAACTGTTCATCTCAGCGGCGTGAAATTTATTTTTGCAATATGCTATCAATGTTATCTTTTCAAAAATGTATTCATATTTTTTTTTACAAAAACTTGATGTCACAGGAACTTTAAAGCATTTAGCATCACGTTTTAGAGGAATTTACGATCAGATTGAACAGACCTGTGACGACTCCTGCAACTACCTGATGGGGAAAGTGAGCTGCCATGAAGACCCTGGACATGCAGACCACCAGCACCACCAGGACCATGAGGGCCCACAGTCCCACCTGCAACAGTCTGTCAGAGTGAACACTTAACGTCAGTGGAAAAACAAATCTCCGTTTCTGTAAAAACACCTGAGTGAATTAGAAAAGACTCACCTGTAAAGCAAAGGTGGGCATCGTTTTTCTGTTGCGATGGAAAGAAGCGCAGTTACCATCACGTACCAGACCCCCGCTGCGGCCATAGCATGACCCGAGGGGCTTCCTAAAAGAAACGCATCAACACTTTAACTTCTCTTCATGTAGGTGTTCAGGTCATTTATATTAAATAGAATTTAAAAAGCATAGATAACTGAATAACTGATTTTCCTCCAGTGTATTTCACCGTCTATTATCTGATTTTTAAAGGAAAAAACTTAATTTTCTCCATAAAATAACTTTAAAGTAATTAGCAAATTATCCAAGTTTCAGGAATATACTGTACCTTTACCAGAAGTAATAAAGTCTAATTTTGCCAATGCAATGAAATAATTAAGGGGCAATATTATGTAAAATCTACTTTTTTGAGTTTTATATCATGTTATAATGTTATACTC